TTCTATCCCTGGTACCACAAAAAAAAAAAAGAATGTCTTGTTCCCAGTGCTGCTGCTCTTCTTGGGACCAGTGCTCTTCTTGTGGCAGAGGCAATAGGCCAAACCCAGGTGCTGAAGGAGAAATGGACACAGGCCAGAGCATTCCTGTACAGTGTCCACAGCAAGATAAGTACATGACTAGAGACTATGAGGAAACATTTCCAGTAATTTGATGTTGCTTCAATATCCAAGAGGAAATTTTTACTGAATTTTATTAAAAGTACTAGCCCACGACAGATTGGAAACTTAGGAAAACAAACTATTTCTTGACTCAAGATAATTTGTGAATTGCTGAGAAATAATATATGCTGGGGATTTAGCTCAGTGGTGCCATGTATGCCTCCCAAGTGCAAGGTCCTGAATTCGATCCCAATAAAGAGAGAGAGAGAGAGAGAGAGAGAGGGAGGGAGGAGGGAATGGCATCCTTCTCACTAGAAATGAATTTGTACGTGCACACAGGTCTTGTCATCTTTACAGAGGTCTGAAGGGATTTGTGTTCGTATCACTTTGTCACCAAGAATTTGACCATCTTGGGTGTCCTAATAGTTTTGATCCAGAATGTTGCAGTAAAATGGCACTGTGTGAAACCTTTGGCAAATGCAGTAGCTCATGCCTATAACCCTAGCCCTCAGGAGGCTCATGCAGGAGGATTGCCGCAAGTTCAAGGCCAGCCTGAACTTATATTGCAAAACCCTGTCTCAAAAAAACAGACAAACAAACAAAAAAAAAACCAGAAACTTTTGGCACCCTACTTGTCAGCCTTCTCCTGCTAGCTTCCTCTCTGCTCTATTGTTATATGTATATTTTCAGTCCCATAATTTTAACCTTGACAAAAGGCATATCATTACTAATTAATATGAAATACTGACAGTGTATCTTTAAAAGGTACGTTTTAACATTCCAGGGTTTGTTTGGGTTTTTTAGTCTATTTTAGCCTAATTAGTAGCACCATGTTTGGTGTATTTCTAAGGTGCTTTCCTATTCATGAGAGAAGTGGTTCTAAATTAATAAATTCTAATGTGAATTGATAAATATAAAACCTAGAATTTCAGGCATTGAGTCGGGGAGGGGAGTTTTTTAGGAAGGAAGGGAAAGATGTGTGTGACTTTTCTGTCTACATCTTTGACCTTGGGCAAGTTTTTAAATCTTGTCTTTTCTCATCTGTAAAATAAAAATATAATATCACCTTCCTAGAGAATTGCTAGAATTAAATATTCTAAGCACATTAACACAGAACTTGGCATATATACTCAGGTTTTCAAAAATGTTAACCATTATTTGGGGAGGGTTTGTTTGTTTGCTTGTTTGTTTTTGAGACAGGGTCTCACTATGTAGTCCAGGCTGGCCTGGAATTCATGGTGATCCTCCTGCTTCAGCCTCCTGAGTGCTGGGATTATAGACAGTCACCACTAAGCCCAGCTACTGTAGTTTGTTTTAATTAGCTACTCAGCCCTGGATGTAGCTCAGTGGCACCACACCTGCCTGGCAAGCACAAGGTCCTGAGTTTGATCCCTGGTACCCCCCCCAAAAAAACCCTGTATAATTGTAAATACATTTCAGGCACTGTAGATCAGAGATGAGGTAAGGGCTATCCCCCAGAGGAACTCTTAGTCCAGTGGAGGATTTATGCAAATATATAAGAAAGATAAAAGTACTGTATTATGAGAGTTTAATGCTATTTCAGAGGGAAACACGGGGCATCAGAAAACTTTCTGGGTGGGACCTGACTTCCTTAACACCTGACCTATGCCCTGGGGAGCAGGTTCAAGGTAGGCTCTTACAAGAGGCTTTGTCTTAAGTTGAGTCTTAAATGATGTGGAAGTATTAGCAGGAAAATGGAGCGATGCACAAAAAGACCTGGAGGTGAGAGGGTCTAGTAAAACTAGGAAATGTGAGTGATGTGGTATCATTTGGCTCTCATAACAACCTTATGAAGAGATATAATCCCAGTTTTACAGATGAGAAAATTTCAGTTTCAGAGTTAAGTAATTTGCCCAAGGTGACTTTGCTACTAAGGGGCAGAGCTGGAATTTAAAATCTAGTCTGATTTCAAAACCGTGCTCTCCCTTGTAACTTCAGAAGCATAAATATACAGTGATGTTTTCTTTATACTTCTCTGTTGATATCCTGGGTTGGTAGGACTATGATTCATCTTTTCCTTTAATTTTCCCTGCTTCGTTCCTAAACACATCTCTGAGCTTGCCCTTCCCATAGATTGACTGACCCTCCTGCCTTCTGCTCCAGTGATTAGGTAACATCCACTGTCTGCTGAATGAAGCCTGTCCTGGCTTGATGTCAAGGTTCACCGTAAATCAGGAAGACTGTTCAGAACTTTTCCTTACATCTCACTTCTCATCCACACATATTCATGCCTTCAGGTATCATTTACTTGTCTGTCTCACTGTGGTGGTCACAGTGTGCCTTATAAGGATGTTATTTTAATGTTTAGATTTTTTAATGACGTTTGTTCCGTTACCATTTTTCTAAAAATGATTTTATCTTTGATGAAAGCAACTTGGGAACCTTCTGACCTTAGTCCCTATCTAGTGAAAATATTCTTTGTACTTGTCTCTTATGTGATGAGCCAGCCTCTGCTCGTACTTTTCTGGAGGGATTTTTTTTTTTTTTTTAGAGCAGAAAAATTCTAATTGTAAATTCCTTATTATTGAACTAAACCTTTACATCCATTTGTTTCCCAGGACCTGCCCTTGGAACAGTAGAAGTCAGTTATTTCTCCTCTTCCTCGTGAAGGCCCATCAGACATTTAAAGACAGCTCTTAATGTCTCTGCTGTGGTTTCTCTTACATAAGCTACAGAATCTCATTTATTTGGAGCTTTTCTGCTGTGCAAGTCTCAAGCTCTTTACTATTCTCTTACCCTCCTCTGAAAGTCCTATGATTTGAACACTGCCCATCTGAAACACAGGGCACAGAAAAATACAGAGCAGTCTCTGATGAGGACTCGATGCTTACACCTTAAAAGCCTGAGATTGCTTCAGCTTTACAGCAGCCATATCACATTTTGCGTTTCTGCACTTAAAATTCCCAGACATTATTTTATGTAGGTGGTAGTTAGGCTAATTTGCATATAGTCTACTCTGCAGTTGATTTTCTTCAGTCTTGTGTAGAACTTCCTAGTTTTCCTAGCTATATTTCAACTTGATTTTGACCAATCTTTTTAGCCAATTAATAGTTATGCAAAGCAATATGTGTTTTAGGTCATCTCAAGATTTTAAGCTTACTTTCCACATTTTGGGAAGAGGTGGTACTGAGGAGTGAATCCAGGACCTTAGGCATGCTAGCCAAGTAGTACTCTACCGATGAGCTACATCCCCACCCCTTTATTTTGAGACTAGGTTTCTCTGAATTGACCAGGCTGGCCTCAGACTTACAGTTCTTTTCTCTGAATTGACCAGGCTGGCTTCAGACTTTCAATTCTTCTGCCTCAAGTAAGTAGGATTATAGATGTGTGCCACCATGCCCAACTTAACTCTGCATATCTTTATCCAACTACTTGATAAACATGGCAAGGACAACAACCACCCCTTTTGTGCCTTCTTTGGTGCTGCTTACAAGTGTTTCTTCACCATATTCTGTTGTCTGTCTCACACCTGTAGGATTCTATTTGTTTATCCCATAAATTTTTATTTAGCACCTACCATATTCAAGAAAGTTCTAAGTATACACTAAAGGCAGCACTTCCTGTCTTATGGTGATCACAAATTAGCAGCAGCATGAAATATTTTATTAAATATTTTGTGACTACCATGTTACATAATTCTCTATTTCTCTTTGTCTGGTACCATATTAGAAAAAGGAAGGAAGAATTACTTTTTGCTGATACCACATTGGCTACTAATGATCTTCTACACCTGAATGTGGTGAATATGGATTCACTCCTTTCTCTTTTTACCATGAATGATTTCTCTCTCAAGTAACTGAACTTTGGAAGTCTCTGGAGTTCATTGCTGCCCTTTCTTTGGGCTCTTTTAAAGCTGAGTTTATTGGAGAGTAACCTGTGTAGCCATGTTTTTGTTGTTGGAAATAATTTTTAAATATTCATTCTTTTTATTTACATGTTATCATGACTGGGGTTTGTTTGTTTTTTTTGAGACAGGGTCTGACTATATAGTTCACGTTAGCCTTGAACTCACGGTGTTACCTAGGCTGGCCTGGAACTTCCAGCAGTTCTTCTGCCTCAGCCTCCCCACCAAGTGCTGGGATGGTTTTTATTTAATAGTAAACTTAGTGAAGAATTTTTGTCCAACTTTAGCCATTTCCCTTCCACCATCTTTGTCACCCAGATTTTGTATCTTTATTTTTTGAAATTATCTTTCCTAAGGAGAGTAGCTGACTATCCTCAGATTTTCTTTTCTTCTTGGAGCCCTTAAAATAGCATGTTGCTTTCTCTGAGACCTTGGTCTTTTTCATATTGCTAGAATTAAGCCCAGATAAGCATAAAATTTTTGATATTTTGTCTGTTTTTGAAGGAATTAAACTATTAGCAATGTAAGATTTGGGGGTTTTATTAGGATAATGCAAAGAGCATATGTCTTCATGGTTGACAGCTCACCTGTCTTCCCAGTTATAGATGCTGCATCAGTCATTTCCTTCCTCTGGTCAGTTTCTGCCACTTTGGCATTTCTACCTACTCTTCTTTCCCCTCGGGTCTGGTGCTTAATACTGTCTTATTCAAATTATTGGATTTGCACATAGATGTTTATTCTCTCGAACAACTGGGAGGATTTTCTGCGTTTTCCTACAGATTCATCTGTATAGGGCAGTGGATTTCTTGTGGATGTTGTAGTCTGTTACTGTCCCATCCCACCAAGTCTTGATGATTTCTATGAGATTGTTTATCTCCTTGAATTCTTCATATTATTGCCACTTAGTGCCTAGCACATTGATGTTCAATAAATAATATTTATGATTAATCTCAGAAGTCTTTGCCTTCTCTTTTAGGCTGTGAGGATATCATTGCAGAGAGCATCTCATTAGATACCTTAATTGCCATCCTCAAGTGGAGCTCTCATCCATATGGCTCTAAGTGGGTGCACCGGCAAGCTTTGCATTTCCTCTGTGAGGAATTGTCCCAGGTCATGACTTCGGATGTTTTTTATGAACTCAGCAAAGATCATCTGCTTACTGCTATCCAGTCTGACTACCTACAGGTAATCATTTATACACCTCTCAAAATCATTGTCATTCATATATGCATCAAGAATCCATCTGTATTCTATTATTCTTCTGTCTAGCGTAGGGCAGGAGGAAACAGGCTATATGGTCAAACCACCCAGGAATGCCCTCTTTGTATTTGGCAGAAGGTCTATCTCGTGTCACCTAACCAGTTACATTAAAAGATGTTGAGATGGTCAGAAGCACATCTCAAAAGCGATTTTCTTGTCTTCCATTAATGTGAATTCACTATAACAGTTTCTTTTGGTAGAGTATCAGATACAGTGGTACCTTGGTTCATGAATGCCTTGGTTTGCAAACAGTTTGGTTCATCACAGAAGAATTGGGCAAAATTTTGTTTTTGTTTACAAACTCTGCATTGGGTAACAAACATAACTGCAGCCACCTTTCCCACACAAACAAACTTGGCCATCTTTTCCAAAATTGTAGAACAGATTAAGTTCATGACCAAGGTACCACTGTACTTAGATTGTAGATTCTAGCTTAAGCAGTACTAAGGAATAATACTCAATTTCTGATCTGCTTAATTGTAAAAACTCAGTATATGTGTTCTACCAAAGTATGTAATGTTTTCAACTACTTATTTTTAAGTAGAAAGTAGTTTTTAGTACATTCTGTGTCCTTATACAAATCTAACTTTGTAATTTAGTAATAGATTTTAATATAAAAAATACTTTCAGGTAAAATGTGTTCAAGCCTGATTTTAGAGGTCTGAGTGAATTTTATGCTAAAAACTACATTTTAATGCTATAAAACCATAAACTCACTTCAGCAACACATATACTAAAATCAAAGCAATACAGAAAAGATTAGCATGGTCCTTGTGCAAGGATGATACACAGATTTGTGAAGTGTTCTGTATTTTTTTCTTTGCCTAAAGAAATTTTTTAAAAAATCCATTTTGTGTCTTTTTGTTTATACTAGAAAAATTACAAAATACTACCATCTCAATCAGAAAATGCAGGGAATAATTAAATAATCTACTCTGCATCAGTTCTTTCCTCTCACATTACTTTCATTGCAGTGCAAATGTCACACAAGGGCTTGATTTATGGAGGATCTGGGCTCACTGACCTTGTCTCACTGTCAGCTCTCGTTGATTTATGTTTATGGGAATTAAAATGTGTCAGTTCTCTCAGATTGTTATCTTTAGGAGCTTTTCATTCCTTCTTAAAAAGTAAAAAGCTTAGCAGCCTAGATTTTAAATAAAGTACAGAGAAATGAGGGATAACATTGCCATTTCATAGATTGTCCTTCAGGTATCCTTCACCAATCCATGCAATACCTGTGGAGACCATAATCTCTTTTGCCACAAGTTGTTGTGCTGTCTCTCCTGTCCCTACAGGAGGAATTAACTCTAAAATTTCAAACAGCCAGTGCAAAGAGAGAAACGTGATAAGTTGTACTCCTTGTTTACATTATAACTTAGGGAAAGTCATTAGTGAAATTAACAATTTATCTAACTTCACTAAAATATAAACCATTTTTTATTATAGGCAAGTGAACAAGATATCCTTAAATATGTAATTAAATGGGGAGAGCATCAGTTGATGAAAAGAATAGCAGACAGAGGTAAGTTCAGAAAATTAGCTCATGCTAATCAACTTGCATAAGTTTTTTATGTTTTTTTATATTTCCTAAAGTTTACTGAAATGCAGACTGCACATTAGTCTTGAAAACAGTTGCTATTGCCTAGTGAAAACAGTTTTTTGCAATCAATAAAATGCTTTAGTCAAGGGGTATAGTTTGGTAAAATGTCAAAGTTTTATTTTGCAATTTTAAAGGGTCACTTTTTATGTTTCTGTGTGCTTAATATATGGTAATTAATGGGCATATTAGAATGAAATTTTTCATGTAATGATTGAAAATTGCAAAAGGAATATTATTGATGAAAGTGTTCTGGAATTAGTGTTGATGGTTGCACAACAGTTTGAATGTACTAAAAGTCACTGAATTGCATGCTTAAAATGGTGAATTTTGCCTCAACTAGAAAAATGCAGTATGATTTACTGGGGGTGTAACTTGAATAGAATGTGTGCTCAGCATATATAAGGTCCTAGGTTCAATCCTCAGGACCAAAAAAAAAAAAAGGAAAAAAGAGGAATATAAATGATGCTTATTTTAGCTGAGCATGGTGGCACAGGCCTGTAAGGAGGATCACTGTGAGTTTGAGACCAGCATGGGCTACACAGTGAGTTCCAGAGCAGTCTGAACTACATAGTGAGACCCTGTCTCAAAAAACAAAAACAAAAGCAAACAAACAAACAAAAAAGCTTATTTTAAAATATGGTGAAAGGTAAAACATAGAGTTGTTCTATCACATTTTTAAATACATAAAAATTTTGTGTAAACCTTCCTTGAAACCTCCTTTAAAAGGGGCCGGGTATGGTGGTGCACACTTATAATCCCAGCACTCAGGAGGCTGAGGCAGGAGTTCAAGGCCACCCTGGGCTACGTAGTGAGTTTAAGGCCAGCTTGAACTACATGGCAAAAACCCTGTCTCAAAAGAAGAAAAAAAAAGGCCAGGGATTTAGCTCAGTGGTACTGTGCCTGCCTCGCAAGCACAAGGTCCTGAATTCGATCTCCAGTACCAGAAAAAAAAAAAAACCTTAAAAGTGTCTCTTTTTAGTATGCTGCTACCCAAGTAGTCAGGAGCAGAAATGGTCCTATTTTATTTCTCCTAATTTATTTTTCTATAATCTATAAAAGCCTTTAGTGAATTCTCAGATAAGAAATTTTTTTTAATATTAAAAATCAAATCAGGCATGGTGGTTCACACCTATAATCCTAGCACTCAGGAGACTGAGGAAGGAGGATCACAAGTTGAGGCCAGCCTGGGCAACATAGCAAGTTCAAGACTAGCCTGGACTACATAGTGAGATCCTGTCTCAGAAAAAGACAGTGTGTGTGTGTGCGCGCGCGTGCGCGCGTGCGCGCGCATGCACATGTGCGTGCACACATCTATGGTAAATTCAGAAAACTTCATAAATGTCAATTTATATAGTTTGTTCTCCTTTGCATATTCTGTAGTTGTAAATTTATCTACTCAGTAAAATGTATTTGTAACCTCAAAATCCATATCAAGATCTGTTGTAAACAAGGGTCCTTCTCAGTCTATTTAGTGCTCTTTCTTTTTCACATTTGTATTAGTGATCTCACTATTTAAAGCAGCCCCCAAGTGTGATGTTGAAGTGTTGTAAAGTGTTCCTAAGTACAAGGTGGCTGTAATGTGCCTCGTGGAAAAAATCTGCATGTACAATAAGCCTCTTTCAGGCCTAAGTTACAGTGTTGTTGGCCTGAGTTCAGTGTTAGTGAATGAACAGTATATGTTAAATAACTTGTCTTTAGATGGAAACACACACACAGAACTAAGTTATCTCTTGATCAGTTGGCAAAAATATTATACCATAGACTTACAAGAACCTAACCTTGTGTTTCCACCGTAGAACAGTGGTTCAGAATTTGCCAAGTCATTGTTCATGTCAGTTTTATAGAACATACCTACTGGAAATAATAAGAAATGGTTGTAGATAGCTCTGTATAGTTCATATAAGTCTTACATTTGTTCGCTCATGTAACAATGGAAGGTTGTATTTGTTTTGGGCAGATACTGAGCATGCTTAAGGTGTAAAATTTCCCTTAAAAGAGTAATTTTCAGATTGGGTTAGAATGAAAGATTCTTCTGTAAGGGTAAGAAGGAAGCTAAACAAATAGGCCACCGTTTGTTTCAGTCAACTTCATTATATAGAGTTTACCCTTCAAGCTGGGAATTTGGCTCAGTGGTTCTGCCGCCTGCCTCTCAAGCACAAGGTTTCGAGTTCAATCCCCAGGACAAATGAATGAAGGAATGAATTTACCCTTACCTATTCGATATTTGGGGGGGTTCGTGTAAGATTTCATCTGAAAACAAGATGCCACTAAAGAAAAAAAAATTTTAGAAGTAATATCTACCATATGTTAGCATGAATCCAAATCATAGCAAGGCAAGGGCAAAAAAATTTTTTTCCACACACTTACAATTTTATTTTGAATGGCTCCAGAGAAAGCTTGGCTTTTCAAAACTGGGGTGTATATGTATGTAAGTAATGATTTAAGGAAGATATCCGTTTTCTTATAGAATACTGTATTTAAAAACACCCTGCATTTTTCGGGGGGGGGTAACAGGGATTGAATTGGGGACCTTGCACTTGCAAGGCAGGCAGCAGTGCATTTATATTTTTGAGTAAAGATCTTATTCAGTAATAATTGGGGGAATAATGGCTTGAACTGAGGGCCTTGCACTTATGAGGCAGAAGTGTTGCCACTGAGCTAAATCCCCAGCCCTCAGTATTAATTTTTTAATAAAAAAGCCCCCTAGATTTAACATAATTAAAGATATCTAAAATGATGTAATTTTTCTCCCACATCAATACTATGTTTATATATTTCAGATCTTCCCCTTTCACTTATAACCAGTAAAGAAAATCTTTATTTTCGACTCTGGATGGTGAACATTCAGTACAGTACATGTCAAAAATGAAAGGGTCCACTTACATGCAGTAATATTCCTATGCTATGGAAATTTAAGAAAGTTCATAAAACATTTAAATTTAGATAGGATGTATATTAGGTTTTGCTCCTTTGGATCACAAGCCATCAAAATGACAAACAGAATTAAAACCTAGACAGCCTAGTGAGCAATACTGATGCCCTATGCCATCCCTGTCATACTAAAAACAGGTCACAAAAGTGAGGAAGCTTAAGAAAAAGTCCTTGATTGAATTAGGTGTTTTTGGATTGTCATCTTTCTTCCTTTGAGTTACTATACAAAAAGAGAATATTATTCTTTACTTATCATGCTATGAACAGCACACTTTTTCTTTGTCCGAGCACATCTGTATTACATAAACTTTTTTTTTTTTTTCTTTTGTACTGGGGATCGAACTCTGGCCCTTGCACTTGCAAGGCAGGCAGCGGAACACATAAACTTCTTAAGACAGAAAAATGATTGCTTTATAGCAGAGGTACACTGGGCCAGCTATTGAACTCAGTGGTTCTGCCACCTGCCCCAAAAGCACAAGGTTCTGAGTTCAATCCCCATACCAAAAAAAAAAAGAAAATGTACTTAGTATATAGAGTGGTGCTGAGTATGTACTAGAGAAGAAAGATTGTCTGAAGTTTTTTATTTAGATAGAGACTTTTCATTTTCTGTCTCACAGAGCCAAACTTATTGAGTGGAACTGCACATAGTGTGAACAAAAGAGGAGTGAAAAAACGAGACCTAGACATCGAAGAGCTGAGAGAGATCCTTTCTTCTCTCTTACCTTTTGTGCGAATTGAACACATCTTACCTATAAACAGTGAAGTCTTAAATGACGCAGTAAGTGTCTTTATTCCTTTCATGAAAAGAAAAACACCAGGCTTGTTTTAATCACTATAAATAATTCCTACCCATTTGTGAAGCCATTGTTCTGTACAGTGCTATGTCCCTGGTATCTGTCACATAGTACAAAAAAATTTTGGGTGAATGAGAGTTAAGAGAGAAAAAAGTCTTACTTTGCAAGAGTGTAGTTTCTGGTTGATTTTATTCAGTCATTTGTCAATATAGATCAAATAGATCTTTTGTTAGAAAGAAAAAGGTAGAAAATTTCTTTGGAGATTCTTTTTTTTTTTTTTTTTTTTTTTTTTTTTTTTTTTTTTGTTTTTTTTTTTTTCTTTTTTTCTTTTTGGTATCGAGGATCAAACTTGGACCTTGCACTTCTAAAGCAGGCGGCGGAACCACTGAGCTAAATCTCCAGCTGGAGATTGTTCAAGAGCAGCAATAAATTAGAAGATGAGAGGAGAATAGAGTGATCATATTATTTTTCATAATTTTTACGTGAATTTTTTCAAACTAATACTAATAGAATTGGTTGAATTAATGAATAGATAAAATATTCTTCAAATTGGTTTCTAAATTTAATGTCATGCTTATAAACAACTTTTTAAGTTTTTTGATTTACATGGTAATTGTACAAATTTATGGGTTACAACAATGTGAGGTTTCATTTATCATTTCTTTGTTGTGAGAATATTCAAAATCTTCTCTTCCATTTATTTTGAAATATACAAAACATTATTGTTAACTGTGGTCACCCTCCTGTGCAAAACAACACTAGAACTTCTTCCTTCTAACATTGTACCCATTGATCAGCCTCTACCCATCTCCTGCAACCCTCCGGTGCCTCTGCCTCTGCCTCTGATAGCAGCTAGTCTACCTTCTGTATGTTTTTTTGTTGTTGTTGTTTTTCCTGGTACCGAGGATTGAAGTCAGGACCTTGTGCTTACGAAGCAGGATTGGTGCCACTGAGCTAAATCCCCACCCTCAACAGCTAGTCTCCTCTCAACTGCTATGAGATAAACTTTTTTAGATTCTACATATAAAATCATTCTATATTTGTCTTTCTGTGCCTGCCTTATTTCACTAAATATAATGTCATGTTCGTCTATGTTGACAAATGGCAGGATCCCTTTTTTTTTTTACAGTCTGAATAATATTCCATTGTGTGTATATTCCACATTTTCTTTGTCCACTCATCCCTTGGTGTACATTTGGGTTGAGTCCACCAATTGGCTATTGTACACAGTGCTGAAATAAGCAGGGGAATACAGAAGTCCAAATAGAATAGACATGAACAGGTTTCATTTCTTTTGAGTATATACCTAGTAGCAGAGTTGCCTGCCATATGGAGGTTCAATTGTTAATTTTTTTTAAGAACTTCCATTCTGGTTTTTGTTGTTGTTGTTATTGTTTTTGTTTTTGTTTTTTCTTTTTGGTACCGGGGATCGAACTCGGGTCCTTGTGCTTGCAAGCAGGTGGTGGAACCACTGAGCTAAATCCCTGGCCCCTCCATTCTGTTTTTTATAATGGCAGTACTAATTTATATTTTTACCAACAATATGCAGTGGTATCCTTTTCTCCACTTCATCAGCACTCATTGTCTTTTTGCTAAAAGCCACTCTATCTAGAGTTAGTATCTCATTGTGGTTTTGATTTGTCTTTTCCTGATAATAGTAATGTTGAGCATTTTTTCATACACCTGTTGGCCACTGATATGTCCTCTTGTGATAAATATCTATTACAGGTTTTTGCCTGTTTTAAAATCAAGTTATTTTGGGACATTTTTGCTGTTGAGTTCCATATGTATGTTGGATATTAACTTATCAGATGTATGGTTTGCAAAATTTTCTCACATTCCATATAGGCTCTCTTCACTCTATTATTTGGTTTGCTGCACAGAATTTTTTAGTTTGATGTAATACCATTTGTCTGTTTTTGCTTTTGTTGCCCATGCTTTCAGGATTTTATTCAAAAAAATCCTTGCTTAGTCCTGTGTAGAGCTTTTGTGTTTTCTTCTAGTAGTTTCATAATTTCAGGTCTTACATTTAAGACTTCAGTTCATTTTGAGTTGGTTTTGTGTATGGTGAGAGACAAATATAATTTCATTTGCTGTATGTAGGTATCGATTATCTGGATATCCATTTATCGAAGAGACTGTTAGCAAACCAGGCCCATTTTCCTCACCAAACAGTATGTCGATCACTGAAACAAGTTTTGCAAAAGGGAGAGTTTATTCACAGAGTAGCCACGCATAGGGTAACGAACCAAGTCTCAAATCCACCTCCCTGAGAAGAGGGTTTGAGGACATTTATTGGATAAAGAAGCATGATTATTTAAAGCATGGAGAATGATGGTTTGAGGTGAAGTAATCTGTAGTCTGTACGTGTGTAGTCAAATTGCCAGGCTCTTCATGAGATACATATTCAGAAATTGGCTACATTAGCATAATTTGAGGATAGTTTTTGAGCTTTCTGGCATTAGAAGCTCACCCATCGAACACTTTATCAGGCCTAAATGAGAGACTCAGTTATTTTGATAAGAACCACCTTTGAGTTCTGAAAAGCAACCTAAGCGGCCATGATTATCATAAACTATATTTAACAGTGTTCTCTCCAGCCAAAGCTCTCAGGAAACTAATGTATTTCTCAGCTACATGACCTCCAAAATTAGTGATTTGATTTGTTTTATTTTATTTTAGCTAACTAAAAGCAAGTGAAGGTAAAGAAGTTATTCAGGTTTCCCCCCAATTTTCACATATCCTTTTCATTATGCATTTTTGGCACCTTTGTTGAAAATCAGTTGGCTTTAAATATATGGATTTATTTGTGGACCTCCTATTCTGTTCCATTGATCTTTGTGTTCATTTTTATGCCATACTGTGCTGTTTTGGTTACTAAGCTTTGTAGTATATTTTGAAGTCAGGAAATGTGATGCCCTCCTACAGCTTTTTTCTTGGTACCAGGGATCAAACTCATGACCTTGTGATTGCGCAGCAGGCATGGTGCCACTCAGCTAAATCATGGGCCTAGCTTTTTTCCTGTCATTGTTTGTTGGTATATTTAAAGCAAATACAGTTACATTTATCATTGAGATCTTGTACCTTTACATGATATGTCTTGGTTCTTGTTTTTTCCCCATACCCCTGCCCTTCCTTCACCCTTTGCTATTTATAAAGACTGTTTCCATTTTTTTCCTTTTTTCACATTTTTTTTAGCTTTTTTCTTTTTTAAGATTACTTCAGCTATTCAAGTTTTTCATGGTTCCATATACAGTTTGAATTTTTTTTTCTCTTTCTATGAAACATGTCATTGGTATTTGGATAAGGATTGCATTGACTCTTTTTTTTCTTTCTTTCTTTTTTTTTTCTTTTTATTGAGTTTATTGGTACAATCTAGGTATACAGTACAGTTACATTCATCATTGGGATTCTGTACCTTTACATAATAGGTCTTGATTCTCATTTTTTCCCCTTGTCCCTGCCCTCCCTTCACCCCCTCCTCCCCTCCCCATTTACAAACACTTTATTTCCATTTTTTCAGTTTCTCATATTTTTTTCCTCTCCCTTATTACCCTTACTCCTCCCTTCCCACTTTCCCTACACCTTTAGCCCTTTACTTCCCATTTCACATTATTAATTTCATTAGGATCCTGTGTACTATTATAGTTTTTCACACCAAAGAAACTATTTGGTATTTCAGTTAAAGAAATCTCTGTATGAACATTAAAAATAGGGAATCCTAAAATAAAACTAAAAAGGAAAGTAAAAGAGAAAAGTCAATGATGTAACATTAAAATAATCCTTAATTCTGGAGATTAAAATGTTCCCTGAACATATTTAAATTGCTTCTTGCTCTTACAGTCTTATCTTATTGTTTTTTTTCATTATTTAGAGAATACTTTATTAGTTTCTGTAATCAAACCCACGTAGGTATGACCTTACATATTTAGTACGATGTGTTACCCCTGTATACATGGGAAAAAAATTAAAAATAAAAATAAAAAATTTAACATTTCTAGACCAATATGGCTGTCCATTTCTGTACAATGCCAACTCAACACAGTAAATAGGGATGACTTTTTGCAAAATTGGCAGTACTGTTAAAATTTCCCAAAATTCAATTTTTATATATATGTATATATATATTTATATAAAAAGACTAATAATAGCAGTATGTTATGAATCGATAGCAGCAACAGCTTTTCCAGTTTCTGCAGTTATCTGAACAAAATTATAGACATTCGGCACAGTCCATTAAAAAAACAAAACAAAAACAAAACAAAAAGAAACAAAGAAAAGAATAATATCCAGAAAATAGCAAAATTCTGTTGCTGTTGTGGTACCTGGCACCATTTTTTTAATTAGCATCTTAATCATCATCAGGAAAGAGAACATTCTAGAGTAATATCATTAAATGTATCTCTGATAAAGCACGGTCCCTGCTATGTATCATAAAGCAGGTACAAGATATCTTACATTCATAGAGGTATGATACAGTACCGTCCTACATCAATAATACTAGATTCAGTTTTGGTTTGAAATTTACTTTGTCTGCAAATAAGATTGCTACCCCTGTTTTTTTCTGGACTCCTGTCACATGGAGAACTCTTTTCTATCTTTGCACTTTCAGTCTATGGGCTTCTTTTTGCACTAGGTGTGTTTCTTGTATACAACATATTGTTGGATTTTGCTTCTTATTCCAGTTGGCCAGTCTATTTCTCTTGATTGGTGACTTGAGGCCATTGACATTGCTGGTTATAACTGATATGTACTGACTTATTATTGACATGTTATTGTCCTTTTGTTGACTCTTTTTACTTTTTCACCTTCTCCTTTTAATTTCTTGCCTTGCCTATTTGATTTGCTCTGTTGGGCCTCATGGTGTTGTTGCCTTCATTGTCTTTTTCTAGGATCTTATTTAGAATTGCTTGTAGTGCTGGTTTGGTATTCATGTAGTTTCTCAGGTGTTCTTTGTCCTGGAAGTGTCTTATTTCCCCCTCCA